TATATGTATGCATATGTATATTTATATCTATACTGTATATACACACATACATATATATATACATATACTTACACATACATACATACATGTATATGTATGCATATGTATATTTATATCTATACTGTATATACACACATGCATATATATATACATACATACGTACACACACACACACACACACACATATATATATTTACTCTTCCTGCAGCCAGCCTGCCTATGTTTTAAGATCTTCTGCTGAAGTTTGTTTCCCATGTGACTTTCTTACTGGAAGTACACTATGCAACAGAGGGCATTTTGCATGGTGCACCAATTATGGAATAGCCACCACAGAGTTGGGCTGATGCATATATCACTTTATTCCCGATGCCCTCTTAAGACTTCTTTTTCCAAAAGAATTAGGAAATTTGACAAGTTCTCTAGCTTGCTGCTGTGTATTTGACTAACTGCCTCACTATATTGTCACTGTTATTGCTTTTGTTATTTATTTTAGGGTTCTATGACATATTTCCTGTTCATCACTCTGGAGTCTGTTAGATTAAGAGCACACAAGTGTTTAAAATACATACATTTTCAGGAAAATATGAACAAAAACCTACACAAAGAGAAAAGGTCTCCATACCAAAGTGCTTACAACACATATTTAAGTAATGAGAGGAGGGAATGGAAGATGAAAAGGTGACACAAGACAAATGCGAGCAAATCAAGTTAATTATCACATTAAGTATGATAATGTCAGCTGTGGGAAGAATTTCAGAAGAGACAAATTACTCGAGGATATCAATGTTGCATATCTTCTTTTGGAGATGAAAAATGGAGCTTATTGCACAAATCAGGATTCTACTGATTAAGAGTTGACATCAGTGAAAATGTTTAGGATTAGTACTTGGTTTTGCAGAAATGCTCTTACTTTTCTAATACTCTCTCTTGCAAAAACAAAAACAAAAAACTCAACCTCCATCTCTTATACTTAGCCAGTTTTCCGGATTTCTAGATTCTCTTATTTACCCACATACAAAATAATGGATCCTCTGCAGAATAGGTGGTTTGGATATCCAAGAATCCATACAGTTAATTGTTTATTCTATTTGCAATGACCATCAGACCAGCCAGCTGCCTTGAGAAAAAGCTTTCCACTTTAAATCCTGTTTGTTTTCACTCTGAACTCTTAAATATCAATACATACTACCCCACAAAACTAATCATTTTCAAAGAATGAACAGCCTAAAGGGACAGTAAGTCAAATAGCAAAATATAAGATCCATTACTGTTGTTTTCCCCCAAGAGCGTATGTGTTGATGTTGTTGAACTAAAGGCAATTAACAAGAGGCCAATGCGCTTTAATCAGATATGCAAAGAAGATCTGCTGGGATGCTAAATTATTCTCATCTATTAGGATAAATGTGGTTGTTTGAAGACAAGACTTTACATCTCTAGCATTCTTGGGAGGAAAATGTGTCTTGTTCTTTTGGAGAAAATTTCTTGACCTTTAAAAACAGAATGGTATAATTCCCTTTTCTTTGAGGTATAATTACTGATGGATGACTATGCTCTGCATCTTTAATGCCCAGACATTTTATTATTAAAAATATGGGTATTATTCCACCCCCACAACTGATGCAAGAATATTTATCTCCTGCAAGAATCCTGTCAACTTTTAGGCAATTGATAAACTTCTAAAAAAATTCAGAGGGTGGGGGGTGGAATAATGACAAGGTACTTGGAACATTTCTTCTCAAACAAAGAAAAATACCTTCATTATGGTAGGCTGTCTTGGAAATAAAAGTCTTGACAGGAATACTCTCCTTTTCACTCACAGCTGGAAGTTACCTACTGTATCATTTTAAAGTTAGTAACATAGGTTGGAAAGTCTGCTTTCAACTTGTCTCACTCTGTGGCAGGAGAGCTCAGTCTCATCTTCTGACTCCCAACTCCCACAGAGCACAATTCTGACAAGGAAAAAAGACATCCCCTTTAGAGGTGCACAGGTTGTGTATTACCTTTCCGAAAATGGCTCGCTTCACATAGTGAAGCCAAGCATAGTGTCCGGGAGACAGCACTACACTAGGACTCGGGAGATATGGGCTTGAATTCCTCCTTGCCCATGGAAACTCACTTGTGATGACAGAGGGAAAACTATTCCTTAAATATCTCATGTATTTTGTAATCCCCACTAGGATCACCCAAAGCTAAAATCAAATTGACAGTGCATAGCATGCACACATATTAAAAGCATGCATCAGGGTGTACATACCTGGCAGCAACAGATAGGCTAGCTGGGGCAACTACAGATTCAACTTCAACATGAAGGAGCCATAGGCACCTAACACCATGTATTCCCATGCAAGGAGGAATTCTGATCAGGAGTAGAGAGGACAGAGTGCTGTCCTCTGAAGATGCCGGCCACAGAGACTGGTGAAACGTTAGGAAGAACAACCTTCAGAACATGGCCAAAGAGCCTGAGAAACCCACAACAACCCTTAGATCCCGGCCGTGAAAGCCTTTGCGAATACAAACGAGGAACACTTTGCACTGAGGAAACAAGTTAGAAATCTATTGTAAAACATATACGGACTTTGATTGCCTCAAACATTGTACATTGCAACTGCTAATAGGTAATAAGAAAGATAATGAAGTATGATGCCTGACTGATTACTTATGGAAACAATGCTTATTAAATTCCTTGATGTCATGGCACCGCTTTAATAACTTTTTTAAAAAACAGCTATCATCCTGGTTATTGGAAATTCATGCAACTACCCAGATTGTGCATTTTATTTATTTTAATTTTTATTGCTAAACTGAAGAATTTTGTGCAAACAGGCTTATTTACAGCGAACTGGGGAAAAAATAGGAATTTTAATGAGAGCAGCAGAAAATTCCTTGTCATCCTCTAGTTAGAAAAAGAAAGCTGCAATTCCTTGTCTCAAGTGCAAGGACAAGACCAACAAGAACTTATATACAGTGGTGCCCCGGATAGCGACGATAATCCATTCCGGATATATCGTCGCTATCTGGAAACGTCGCTATACGGAAATAAAACCCCCATAGGAACACATTAAACTCCATTTAATGCGTTCCTATGGGGGATAAACTCACCGCTAAGCGGGAATCCTCCATAGGGCTGCCATTTTCGCCGCCTCGGTAAGCGAGGAATCAGCACGAAAACGCTGCGGGGGGCCATTTTGTTGATCCGGCAGCCATTTTGGAACCGCCAATCAGCTGTTTCTGAAACATCGCAGTGTGATTTTCGGCCACCTAAAACATCGCAATGCGATCGCTTTTGCGATTGCAAAATCTGCATCGCTATGCAGATTCGTCGTTAAACAGGGTGCTCGCTATGCGAGGCACCACTGTAACTTGGTAGGAAACCAGAAAGAGCTGGAATAGATGTCATTAAATAATTCATTATGCCCTGTCAAATTCCAATTTACAGTAACCCCATCAGCCGTACATGTTCTGGATAAGCTTGGCTGCTCTTTCTCTGGGGAGGAATAGTGCAGATTACAACTCTCAGCCCCCGTCAACAAGCTATTTGTTGTTACATTCTGTGAGGCCACCTCTGACTTATGGCGACTTTATGAATGAGAAATCTCCGTCCTGCCATCAACAGTCCTGTTCAGCTTTTGTACACTCAAAACCTGTGACTTCCTTTATGGAGTCAATCTGTTTCATGGTTTGGTCTTCTTTTTTTCCTACTGCCTTCGACCTTTTCCAGCAATATTATAGAGGAACTCTTGGAAGGAATGTTCTGCTGTTCTCATTAAAATTCCTGGACTGCTGACAACGATAATTGGTACAACTTTTCTCAGTTTATGCAAAATAATCCTGTTTGTACAAAATTATTCTGTTTAGCAAAAGTTAAAAAGTTGTGACTCCCTAAAGGAAGCCACAGGTTTGGGTTTGCAAGAGCTGAGGAAGGAAGATGACAACAGGACTTTTCAGAGATTTCTCATTCGTAAGGTTGCCATGAGTCGGAGGCACATAACAACAACAAATATATTTCTTAGGGTATTCTTTTCAGTTTCAATTCTTCTGCCTGTCCTTCGCATGAGTTGTTTTCTCCAACAGCAAAAATAGCTGTACAGTGGTGCCCTGCTTTACAATTACCCTGCATTACGACGAATCTGCTTCACGACGACGTTTTTGTGATCGCTTTTGCAGTTGCAAAACGATGGTCTAAATGGGTTTTTTTCGCTTTGTGATGATCGGTTCCTTGCTTTGTGCTACAGAAGAAAATAAATCTGCCATTACTTGTCTCTGTGTCTATTAACTATTTCTTTCCTGTGAACAACACCTTTGGATTTATGGTCAGCCAGCATTTAGCACTTCTACATTCCATTGATTTCAATACAGTGGTGCCTCGCATAGCGATTGCTCCGTATAGCAATGAAATTGCTTTGTGATGCATTTTTTACGATTGCAAAAGCGATCGCTTTGCAATGGTCCCTTTGGGATATTTTTGCTTTGCGATGATTGCAGGGAAGCGATCATCGCAAAGCCCCCATTTTCGCACAGCTGATCAGCGGTTTCAAAATGGCCACTGGGTAAACAAAATGGCCACCCATTGTTTTCTGGGACAGATTCCTCGCTTTAGAGGCACCGGAAATGGCGGCGCTATGGAGGATCTTCGCTTAAAGGTGGTTTTAAGCCCATAGGAACGCATTAATCGTGTTTTAATGCATTTCTATGGGCTTTTTTATTTCGCTTGGCGATGTTTTCGTTTAGCAGCGATTTTTCGGAACGAATTAACATCGCTAAGCGAGGCACCGCTGTATTAGAAATATATGTACTGTTTTACAGCTATCACTTCCAAGAGTCAGATAATTACACAGAATCTTGGTAGTAAGCAAACTAGGAACTGCACCTGCCTGCCAGAACTAGACAGACCTGAAACTGTATTTTTAACAATATTCAAGCTTCATGATTAGCATCATGGATTCTTACTTCTGTATATTATCAGAAACATTCCTCCAAAAGATAAAAAGACAGTGAAATTATGCCCTTCATTCTTTAATGATTTTTAAAACAAATTAAATAACCGATTACACATAGAAACACATTTGTTTGACAATTCATATTGAGCAGCCAAGACAATAGTCTGAACATGTTGGATCTTCTAAAGAATTTTGAATGTACTTGCTTCATTACAGGTTTGTAGGTCCATGTCTTTGAGATAAAGCACAGAGAATTTTGAAAGTTCCTTTCATCAATGAGTGGCTCCATCTATATAGGCAAAAATGAAACATCACTGTGCAGTTTTTCTACAATGAATCAATGTTCCATTTTCTTCTTGTCTTTCTTTATTTTTCTGTTCTTCCCCAGCTGCTTAGACAAATTTTCCTGGGGGGTAGGGAGACAAACAAATATGACTACATCATTCTTGATTTTTTGTTGTTGTTTTTGCATATGCTACCCTGTTTTTCTGAACCCTTAGCATACTTAAAGCTAAATGAATTTAATATTCAATTTAAGGTGAATATATCCATTCTTCTCTGTAAGCATTCTAAAAAAATTTTTACTGTTGTATTTTAGATTACTTTTTTGGCTGTGAAATGATGCAAATTGTTTGCAATTGCGAGGGATATTATACTAAGATTTTGAATTCTATTTTCTGCTAACTTTAAATAAAGAACAGTATAGTCATGCCTTTTGTTACCTGTAGGATATGTTCCACAGAAAAAAAAGATATCGCATTAACAATGTCTAACAAACCATTTATGCTCGACTTTAACTGATGCACTGGTGTCATTTCTGATTAATATATTCTAAAAACTCACATCATATGAAAACCAGTATGTTTCATTTGCCCCCTTTTTGTGGCTAACAACAAGAATACTGGTTTGCTATTTTATTATAAATAATATATTGAATGTGTCCACTATGCAAGCTGCCTTCCAGTATTTTAGCCAACTTAACAAGTGATTGCAAAAGATTACATTTCATACAAAATATGCTATTTTAATAGATTTTATATTCAGTTTCAAGAATACTTTGATCTTGGATTGAAAGTCCAAGCTCCTAAAAATGAAGGTACATTACTACTACCCAGTGTTTATGTTTAAAACTCTTCACCTCTACATCCTCTGCCTTGCCTCTTCTCCTGACACTGCAATATTTGTTTCACCTTGACCTCACAATTTTGTCCCACGCCCACTTCACTCTTCCTCTGTGTCAACCTACTTCCCCCTCAAGCCACTACCCCCAAGATTCCATTTCTCCCATGAAGACTTTTTTGATCAGTCAAATTAAGACTTGTCCTTTCTCAGTTTTATGCTGCCTACACATTCCCTTCCTCTTCACTCCCCATAAACAAGCCACCCAGAGTAGTTTATTGACTAGATGGGCGGGATATAAATTCAATAAATAAATAAAATAAATAAACTAATTTCCATTCTTTCCTTTTATAGTGATCCTGCTCCTATGGGGTAGAGACAAAGCAACCAAGGAAGCAAGTAAAAAAACTTGAGTGTCACAGCACCCTACTGCAGGCATGCACATCTCATTTCTTTCCAACGGTTTCCTACTCAGAAAATGTTACACAAGATTTCAATGCTGCTCTTTAATTTCTTTGCAAGTTTAAAAACCAGTTTGAAGACTTGAAGAGAAAGTGTCTTAAAAGATTGAAATTAATCCTAGTACCATTTCCCCTCCAGAAACAATCTCTACTACCAAACTATTTTTTAAGATTGGATAAGTTATGTGTTTTGAGAGCTCATCTTCTTAAAGAGAAAATGCTCTGAAAAATTACATTACATTAATTACATTCTAGACAATGCTGATGGTTTCCAGGATCAGGCCTATATTTCAGATCCACTGTATGAATACTTGGAAACAAGCATGTTTTCAGGAAGGAAGGACTGCTACTGTTATGTTAAGGTAACTTACAGAAGAATAAGTGTACTTCTGTTCCACAAGTATGTTTCTGGCACAATTGTTGATATGTTTAAAACGATCCGGTCCTAGCAGGATGCCACCATACCAGCAAGACACCACCACCAAAACATTTCGGACATCTAGGATCTATGTAAAAACACAAATGTACAGACATACAGAAGATAAACTACAAGAGACTGATTTGGAGTAAACTCTCTGATGTACAGATCTTGCTAGACTTCTAAGCTGTTATTTTATACAGACCTTTGAATGACATGATTGGAATGTGACTGTTCTGCTGTAATATTTAAAGCAAAAAACAATTTAAAATTTATCTTGTGAGACCAATAGCTCCATCCCTGCAGGGGGGGAGAGTGTGGGCTGTCACCCTCTGCATGAGCTAGCGTGTGCTTACACACCTGCAGCTCACCTCTGGATTGGGGTGGAGATCCTAGCAATGCCTTTGAGGGTCTGCAAGTGAGCACCAGTGCAGAGGAACAGAAGGGCAAAACAGAATCAAAGGAGGATGATTGTTGGTGATGCTCTCGCTGCGCTTGAGGTCCAAGAGGAACCCACAATGGCCGTACGTTCCAAGGAGGGCTGGGAAACAATCTACTGCCAGGAAACAGATTCCAGTGATTAGGTGGAGTTCAGTGTTACCCTGGAGGAGACAGCCAGGGTCTGCTGGGACGAGGCAAAGCAACGAGAGAGGTGAGGCATTGGAGAAATCAGCTTGGGGCACAATGCCAGCAAAAGCAACCCCAGGGATGCCCTTTCCCTGCCATGGAACTCCAAGGAGGGGAACCCATGGCCTTGACCACCTACTCCTCCACCTCCGCTGCCACTGCAAGCCCCACTGCAAGCCTTCCCGAGTCTGGCAGGACTTTGAGCACATTGTAGGGGAGGCACATCGGGGCATAGCTGCACCCACACCCTTGGAGGAATATCCAGGACCTGACGGGGTGACCGCTGAAGCTACCCATGTGCAGGGAAGTCTACAAGCTTGTGTTTGTCATCGTTGCTGTAATACTCTGTGCACACCTGAGGGCTGTGTTGGGCTTTATGGAGAAGGTGGGGTTTCACTCTGCAGCCCTAAAAAACTAAGATGAGTTCATTTGGGAGAATGTTGAAACTTCCTGGCACCCTTAAAGAGACATTTTTGTTATATGCCGAGTAGGCAATATTTGAGTTCATGTTAAAGAGAATAAGAGTTTTATTTGAGCACAACTGACCCTTTCAATGGAAGGCAATGAGGGGGCTTTGCACATACAGTGGTGCCTCGCTTGATGACGTTAATTAGTTCCAGCGAAATTGCTGTAGAGTGAAAATGTCGTCAAGCGAAATAAAAAAGCCCACTGAAATGCACTGAAAACCGTTCAATGCGTTCCAATGGGCTGAATACCTGCTTGTCCAGCGAAGATCCTCCATACGGTGGCCATTTTCGGGTGCCTGTTAAGCGAAAAACGCCTCCTAAAAACAGCAGGGAGCCATTTTGAGCAGCCGGCGGCCATTTTGAAAACCCAACAATCAGCTACAGTATTTTGATCGTCGTAATGCGAAGAATCGGTTCCCAAAGCAGGGAACCAGTTGTCGTAAAGTGAAAAAACCCCATTAAAACATTGTTTTGCGATCACAATTGCAATCGCAAAAACATCATTGTGAAGCGGAATTGTTGTTATACGGGGTAATCATTAAGCGGGGCACGACTGTATCTTTGTTTTATTTTTATACTCTGAGAAAGGCTTTAAAACTAACAAAGGGTTGAAACGCATTGGGTTTCATAGAATAAAGTAAGGGCATCTGAATGTCTAAGATTTCTGCTGGTTTCAGTTTACTTTTAGTCATGTTCTTAAGACCAACATGATAGCTGAAAACCTATAGGGCGGAGCTCACCTGTACATCTTAAGACCAACATGATAGCTGAAAACCTGTAGGGCGGAGCTCACCTGTACAGGAATAATGTCACTGGTAGCAGCAAATTGCCACTGATTAATGGCTTCCTTTTGTGATTTGGAGGTACATGTGACTTTATCACATTGTGTACAAGCCATGCTCACCTCAGCCACTGATTAATGGCTTCCTTTTGTGATTTAGAGGTACATGTGACTTTGTCACATTGTGTATAAGCCATGCTCACCTCAAAATTGTAAAAGGAAGCCTTTAATCAGCAACAATATTCCACTGTTGACAATGTCATTTCCATTACAATGTTATTTCCATTATTGCACACAAGTAGAACTGTGTGCAATAGTATTTCAGCCAATTAGGCTTAACTAAATTAATTGAATCATAAAGCTTATGTTGGCGTTATAAACAAAGGAAATGTTTTCTCCAGTTAGTTCTTTTTACCTGCATGAGATGGAGAAGACGACCACCTGCAGCTGTCTCACCATCATCTTCACAATCCTGTAAGAAAGTCTGCTTGTCCTCACAGTATATCCTGGAATAAAGAAGAGTGCTGGGTTGTAATATAGTAGCATCAATTATTCTTACACAACTGCTGCAGTTCAAACACAGATTGCAATAGTTTTCCTTGTTTATGACACATTTATTTTACTCAAATGCTCTAATACTGTATCTGTGAATGACCACTCTCATTTACTCTGCCTAAAAGCCTAGATAGCAGTGTGAAGGAACAAAATCAAATATTAAACTTGTCCACCATTTTGAAATGACTACCACTTAAAATCAGCCACTCACCTATAGGCATATATGTTGTGAGTGGCATTGGCTATTTTCTTATTCTTGTACAACTCAGCCAGAACACTTTTCACCTTGGGAGAAAAGAAAGATTTTTTTAGACAATTATAAAAACTTTTACATCTCACTTGAAGATCTTGTAAAAGAGGTATTATCCATAGTTAATCATACAATATTTGATCAGAGCAGGCACAGATGGCCGGCCTGATTAACACCCACCCTCAGAATGCGCTGGACTACTTACCGTGCAGCACGCATGGCCAACGTCATCTTCAGTGTCCCAATCGCTGCAGTAGCCCAGCTGCCACAGCCCCATCTCCCTGCTTGCCTGGCCACTCTGCAGCTGAGCAGGAAGACTCATGCTCCTGCCCCCTTGCCAGAGCAAACAGGGAGGCAGGCTGGGCTACTGGCATGATTGTGGCACTGAAAATTATGCCAGCAATACGAGGTACATGGTAAGTGATCTGGCAGGTTCGGGTGTGTGTGTTAGTCCTACCAGCCACCTGTGCCAGTGGGCTTCGTATTTGTATACAAATACAAAGTCCCCATCTCTATAACTGATTATAATTAAATGAAGCATTACAGTGGTGCCTCGACTTACGAACGTCCCAACATACAACCATTTCGAGTTACAACCAACTCCGGCCACAAAATTCTGCTTCAACTTGAGGCCGGAGTTCAAGTTACAACCAGAAAAAGGCAGGTAAAAAAGGCAGGGAATTCAAATTGCTAACCATTGGTGGCAAAGAGGCTGCTTCTTTGTGAGCGTGATCAGAGGAGGCTTCGGACTGCCTGGTAAGATGGTGCTGCTTTCTACTTTTCAAAAACTGTTCTGGGTGGGTTTTGCAGTGTGGTTTCGGGCTGGGTGCTGGGATTGTTTATATGCTATGATGGGTCTTGCACATAAAAAAGGCAGGGAATTCAAATTGCTAACCATTGGTGGCAAAGAGGCTGCTTCTTTGTGAGCGTGATCAGAGGAGGCTTCGGACTGCCTGGTAAGATGGTGCTGCTTTCTACTTTTCAAAAACTGTTCTGGGTGGGTTTTGCAGTGTGGTTTCGGGCTGGGTGCTGGGATTGTTTATATGCTATGATGGGTCTTGCACAACTGGTTTGTTTTTTGGTGGGTTTTTTCCCATTTCCGATGGGTCTTGTGGGGTTTGTTTGCATTTTGGTTCCCCCCCATTTCCGATGGGTCTTGTGGGGTTTTTTTGCTTTGCTTTTTTGCATTTCTGATGGGTCTTGCACGGTTTGTTTGCTTTCTGATTTGCTTTCCCCCCATTTCCGATGGGCCTTGCACAGTTTGTTTGTTTTCCGCTTTGCTTTTTTTGCATTTCTGATGGGTCTTGCAAAGTTTGCTTGCTGCTTTGCTTTTTTGCATTTCTGAAGGGTCTTGAACGGTTTGTTTGTTTGCTTGCTGCTTTGCTTTTTCCCCATTTCTGAAGGGTCTTGAACGATTTGTTTGCTTTTTAATTTCCTTTTTTTTTTGCATTTCTGAAGGGTCCTGCATGCTTTGCTTTCTTTTCTTTTTTTTTCCCCTCCTTCGGCCGGAACAGATTAATTGCATTTCAATGCATTCCTATGGGAAATGGTGCTTCGATGTACGACCATTTCGAGTTACGACCGGAGTTCCGGAACCAATTAAGTTTGTAACTCAAGGCACCACTGTAGAAACAAAACCATCAGTACTTCCCACACGTTGACCTGCAGCATCCTGAAGACCCATTCTCTAATCCAGTACAGTGGTGCCTCGCTTAACGGGCGCCCCGTTTAACGACAAAATCGCATAGTGATGAAGATTTTGCGATCGCTTTGCGATGGTCTGAATGGGGCTTTTTCGCTTTGTGATGATCGGTTCCCTGTTTCACTTACCGATTATCGCAAAGCGATGATTTTCCCCCAGCTGATCGGCGGTTCCAAAATGGCCGCCGGGTTAAAAAAATGGCCGCCCGCTGTGCTTAGGAACGGATTCCTCGCTTACCGGGCAGCAAACATGGCCGCCGTATGGAGGATCTTCGCTTAAAGGTTAGTTTTAAGCCCATAGGAACGCATTGAAGGGGTTTCAATGCATTCCTATGGGCTTTTTAAAATCGCATAGCGACGAAATCGCTTAGCAGCGATTTTTGCTGCACCGATTAACATTGCTATGTGAGGCACCACTGTATATTACAGAATCTAGAGCCACTGAAATTAATGGGAATTGTTAGCCATAACACAAGGCACTGATTTAAATGAATCTACTCTAAGTATGACTAGCTCTTGATCTTACCCTCTCTTCATACACTCTGTAATGTTTTTCCTTCCAGTGAATGAACTAAAAAGGAGTTCAAGAAAAAAAACCCCTCTGCTTGCTTACCACCCGATAGATTACAGAATCTAATGTGTTTATACTGGAAATATGCAAGACTATCCAATACCTTCCTTATATGTTTAATCTACTATTAATACTACAGGCATCAAAAGCTCAATAAATAATTTGATAATAATGTAATAATGTAATGCCTTTCTACTGAATCTCCTTAAACACAGTAACTACAGTTCTATTCTTATCAAATGGCTCATGTTTCCCTGTACTAGATAAACACTGTATTAAAGGAACTGTTTTAATAAACAGTGCATAATTAATAGTACTTTAAGCAAAACATTATTAAAGCTGTGAAAGCTTGAGAAAATATGCCTGGCAAGCAAATAGCTTTTAATTCAAAAGGAGACAGAAAAAAGCATATCTCTAGAGTTATCAAAATACATTTTCAATATGTATCTAAGTGGTATTCCCATTATTTTATAGCAAATTCACTTCCTATGCTAGAGAGAGAAACACTGCTGTAGCATAGCCCAAGAAACAGTTCATAGCATTTCCAAAGAGAATTTTGCTTTGAAAATATTTTCCCAAATCACAATATCCCTTTCTAAGGGGGAAAAGCACCAAGGGGGGACAGTGTAAATAAATGAACTGTACTTTAATTAGCCAGAAATTAATTTGCAAAGAAAAAACTCTCCCACCCCCACAGCAAACACACCACACTGCTGAAAAAGGAGAGTATGCTGATACAACATGGCAAGTTTGTATTGAAAGCCTGTCTACTCAGAAGCTGAGTCACACTGAGTTCAGGGAGACTAACTCCGAAATGAGATTAGCAGAGATGGGGGACTGTGGCCCATTTTACTCGTTGCATTTTGCTCTGTTACAGCATGACCAATGGGCAGAGAACATCACAGTTGTTGACCACCATCACCAGGAAGGCCACAGTTCCCCATCTTGGGTCCCCAGACTTTCTTGGGCTACAACGCCCAGAAATCCTGCTAGCACAGCTAACAGTAAAGGCATCTAGGTGTTTTAGTCCAAGAACATCTGGGGACTGTGAGACCGGTGGCAAGAGTGGTAGCCCTCTCGCTGGAGTGCGAGTGACATAAAGAGAAGGGAAGAACAGTCACCACCAGGTTGGGAGTGGGTCTGGATGGAGGATCCCTGGACCGGAGCATGGGAAAGGCTGAGGATCCCAAAGGAGGAAGCAGGCTATAGAAAAAGGAGAGAAATCTCTCCGAGACCCTCTTATTGGGGAGAAGCAGAAGCCAGAGAGTGGAGGAGAAAGCTAAGAGAAGAAAAAGGAAGAGTAGAGAGAAAAAAGGAGGAGTGGCTGGAATGGCGGGTGAGTGAAATGAGGATGAAGGGGTACAGGGAGGACCCTGAAAGACACACAACCCCATTGGATGTTCCATGTGGATGGGGGGCCGGCACGACGACACCGTGCCCCTGCTGGAAGGTGAAGCAGGAAGTTTTAGTCCAAGAACATCTGGGGACTGTGAGACCGGTGGCGAGAGTGGTAGCCCTCTCGCTGGAGTGCCATCCCTTCCTCTTACCGCCGAGAAACAGACCCTGCCCGCCTCGTCTCCCAAGAGAACAGAACAGCGAGGGACAAATACACGGGAAATAGAAGGAGAAATACAAAAGTTAACCATTGAAGAAACTCAGGGAAAAATGACGGGGATAGAGTGGAAGAAGAGGGTGGAGATAGAGGCGGGAACAGCGGACATAAAGAGAAGGGAAGAACAGTCACCACCAGGTTGGGAGACCAATAAACATCACACCTGTTTCTAAATAACAAAACATCTCCTGATTTATTTGAACGAAGAAAAGAGCCTGAAGCAGAAGCCTCACAGGGACCCAAGATTGGGAACCACTGGCTTAGTGTAATAAGTTCCAACAGAGTAGACCCATTAAATCAGCGGGGATGTGATGAGTGGGTACAGGGAGGACCCTGGAAGACACACAACCCCACTGGATGTTCCGTGTGGGTGGGGGGCCAGGACAACCCATAAGTTCCACTGATTCAAATAGGCCTATGGCTGTAACTTACTATGCTAAACTATACCATAACTAAAGTAGGTCCATCAGAAATTAATGGAACTTACAGAGGAGTTAACTCACCAAATCCCCACTTTCAATGGGCCTACTCTAATGTGACTTATTATGCTAAATAACAGAATTTTAGCATGTGTATAGAAGATCAAGAGGAAGGGAATGAGTAAGCAAGATATAAATTCAACTAGCTAGCTTTGGATTCAGAATTATCATAAAAGAAGTTTCTCGCCTCACGTTCCTAGACGAAGAATGGAAGCCCCTGGTTGACCCGTTGTCCGAAGGAGGAAAGCATTGGAATAATTTTGTTGACACCGGTTATTTGTTGAACACACCAATAAACATCACACCTGTTTCTAAATTACAAAACATCTCCTGATTTATTTCACTTGACACACTAGGTAACAATATTAAAACTAACAAAATGTTCTGGAATATTTATTAAATTACTATCCCTCCTTTCTTCCAATAAACTCAAGGACGTGTACAATGCACGACTCCTCCCCACTTCACCCTCACAACAATCTGTGAGGTAAATCCAATTGAGAAAAAAATGATTGGCCCAAAGTTACTCAGTGAATTTCATGGATCAGCGGGGATTCGAAACCTGACTTCCCAAGTCTTTACACCAAAATAGTTTTTATGACAGCTGTATCTTAAGAGTGCAAGTATATTTGTGATGTATTAATTAAGAGAATGAGTCATAAATTATAAATGGGGGACTTTCAGAATTTTTGAACAGCAGCTCCAGACATTAACAGACTTCTGAGAGCTTTTGCAAAGAAATCAAAGTACTCACAATTGTTTTTAATCACTTACATGTAGAGAATGGAGGGGCTACCTGGGCCTGACCCGTTGTCCGAAGGAGGAAAGCATTGGAATAATTTTGTTGACACCGGTTATTTGTTGAACACACCAATAAACATCACACCTGTTTCTAAATTACAAAACATCTCCTGATTTATTTCACTTGACACACTAGGTAACAATATTAAAACTAACAAAATGTTCTGGAATATTTACTTATTAAATTTTTATCCCACCTTTCTTCCAATAAACTCAAGGAAGTGTACAAGGCACGACTCCTCCCCACTTCACCCTCACAACAATCTGTGAGGTAAATCCAATTGAGAAAAAATGATTGGCCCAAAGTTACTCAGTGAATTTCATGGATCAGCGGGGATTCGAAACCTGACTTCCCAAGTCTTTACACCAAAATAGTTTTTATGACAGCTGTATCTTAAGAGTGCAAGTATATTTGTGATGTATTAATTAAGAGAATGAGTCATAAATTATAAATGGGGGACTTTCAGAATTTTTGAACAGCAGCTCCAGACATTAACAGACTTCTGAGAGCTTTTGCAAAGAAATCAAAGTACTCACAATTGTTTTTAATCACTTACATGTAGAGAATGGAGGGGCTACCTGGGCCATGTTGCTGAATTCATGAAGAGTTTGAACTAAGCTCCATGGGAGCTGCAAGGCATTATGGGGCTGACAGTCTCCCTACCCATTATACTTTGTACAGGGTGCCTCTCAAAGAACTACCAGCCCCATAGTGCAGTAGTCCCCAACCTTTTTGACAGCACGGACCGGTTGGAGGAGGACGGGGTCGGTGTGCATGGGGGGGCATCCCCGTGCTCACGTGCATGCGCAAAGGGGTGGTGCTCGTTCACATGGGCACACAGGCACTCTCGCGCATGCGAGAAGGGGCTGTGTGGGTGGGCTGCTGGGAGAGTGTGTACGGGAGGCGGGAGGACACTTTGGGCTGCTGGGAGAGTGTGTACGGGAGGCAGGAGGTCACTCTCCACGGCCCAGTCCAGCCAAGGCCATGGACCAGCAGATTGGGGGTTGGGGACCCCTGTCATAGTGCACTGAATGTTCCATGGAACCTAGCCCCCTTCCAGTCACTTCCTCCACCTTTGTGGATTTAGTAGCATGGCTCAGGACAAACCCTTCATTCCCCATCTGTAAGTGATTTAAAACAACTGTGAGCACTTTGATTTCTTGGCTAAAGGCCCCAGAAGCTTGCCTGGGGAAACTCCTGCAGTTCTGCAGGAATTCAGACCCTCCAGTCTCCACATGTAAATGATTAAAAACAGCTATAATCCAAAAATTCTGATAGTCTTATGCTTCACAAATTCATTTGTTTATGAATATGCTGGTCCAATGTACATGACTAAGAATGGGCAAAAGAATGAAATGGTCAGCTGAAAGCAGGCTTTACTAACCTGTTTGGGGCTCACTACAGGTGCCAAATGTGCCTGGAAAGTGCTTCTTCGATCTGTAATTGGATTGCCATGATAAACTGGAGGTAATTCTTCACCTGCAAATTTTAGAATTCAGATTTGGTTCACTGATGGATTATCATACCAAGTCCCTAGGCAATTCAGAATGAATCCACTAAACTTATCTTCTGCTCCTTTTTGTAATTAATAGTCTCAATCAGGATTCCAGATTTCATGAAGGTCTACAGACGCTGGCTTCATCAGCTCAAACACCTACACCTAAAGGGTGGATACTGGGAGTAAAAGTACAAAAGGTAGCATAGTCTCCATCTCCTACCCCTTTCTATACAGAGGCTTCTTTATCAATCATGAAACTTTCACTTGAACGCATAGATACTTCTGCTATCCATAATAATATTCTTTAAAAATTCAATTACAGTAAGACCCCCATATCCATTTAGGATTGGTTCCAAACTCCCAGCAGTGGATAATAACCCCCATATCCATTTGGGATTGGTTCCAACCCCCTGCAGTGGATAATAGCGAGCGAGCGAGCGAGCGAGAGAGAGAGAGAGAGAGAGACAGATAGACAGACAGAGATAGCATGGTACAGACAGACAGACAGACAGAGATAGCATGGTAAAAGGAAAACAATCTAGAAATATGAAATATGCATAACAAATGAAAAAATTCTAGACTTTTTCTTTTAATATTTTTAATATTTTCAAGCTGTGGAGAAGTGAAACTGCAGATACCGATACCCTGATACGGGGGTCCTACTGTACAGGAAGTTGGTTAACTATACCTCCAAAATTGCTTCCAATACATTTCCTTTGTTTTAATTTTTCTATTTCAACATTTCAATATACAAAAAGTAAGAGCCAAAATAGAATAAAAACAGCAGTAGCTCTACTCTACCTTCTAGACTTTCAAACAGATTAAAATCCAGTGTTAAAGTTGTACACTCCTGGAGAGGCTGTTCATCTAGTTGGAAATCTTCATATTCTACACCAATTTCTTCTGTGCTTTTTTTAACATCTGGCCCTACTGGTATAAAAGTGACAGCTATTTTAATAAGTTCTTCACACTTCCAATTATTTTAAGTCATAACAGTTTGGAGAAATTTGCAGCAAAATTCAATTCCTGTGCTGAATAAATTTTGAAGTGTATCACAAAGATTTAATGACTGGAACCTCTTTGGCAAACATATATAATGTAGATTTTATATCACATTTAACCAAGGAAACATGAAGGATGTACAGTATTAATTATAAGTATCAGAACCATGTAATAAATTATGACATTTTTTATTATAATTTGTAGGAACTTCTGTGCCAAACACATATCTATTTGTTACATTAATGGCCTACAGATGTCTCACTATTCTTTCCATAATCCAAGTTAACATACAAAATGACTTTCAGGTGTTCTAATTTCCAGGTTTTAAAGGAATTAAATACTTAACTTTTGGACATGCTTATTTTGAACAAACCAGTCATGGCAAGTAAAACAGGCATCTCACCTTGTGAAACCTAAAACTGCAGAATTACGTTTAGGGATCAAAACACAATAGGTCAGTTTTGCCCACTGTCTCAATGGCCGAAACATAATATGCAAATCACATCAGACACACTAAGATTTCAAATGACAGCTAGGTAGTTCAGGAACAGTCTAAGGGAAGATGAAGACTGGCAAGCTGCTGGACCCATTTTCTATGGCAATCTAATACCCCTTATAATGCTATCTGGGGTTCAGTATCACCGCAGTATGTGTGGATGACACCCAACTCTACCTCTCCTTGCCAAGAAGCTGCTTTGGCATCACTCTATCTGCTACGCCACTCTGGGTATCCATCCGCCAATAAATCCACCACACTGAAATGTCTCTGCTCACATATTGTATCAAGATGATAAACTGTGATTTGGGTTGAACAACTAAAACTCCAGTCTATATACCAATATATTATAGCTGTGCTGATATATTGCTGGCATCAAATTCTTTAAGCTCACAAATTTAACCACTATTAAAAATTAATTAGTGTAGTGCAAGTTAATAAAGTGTAAACATACAAGATTTATTGCATTACCTAAATCAGATGTTTGTGACTTTTCTATCAAAAATTCCCTTAGCTTCTCTATCCACTGATACAGGATACTTTCACCAAGGTTCTGTCTGAAAAAGAATGTAAAATACAGAAAGCAACTCTCAGTTTCATTAAAAATAATATGCAAGCAGCTAAAACTGTATAAATATTACAGGCCCGCATGTAATACTGCATGTAATACTGCATGTAATACCGCATGTAATACTTGTGTTTAGAAGGCAACAATTAACCCCTTCATTCCAGAAAAAAATCATGGTCTCAGTTAGAGATGTGCTAATTTTTGTTTTGTTTTGTTTTTTTACTCAAAATCCAAAAATTCTCCATGAACTCTTCAGGCAGAATTTTGGGAGTTTTAGTCCACAAACATACACCCGAGACATCTTCACTCACCTGGAGAAAGCCTGAGGTTCCTGCCCCAATGCTTCCTGGAGGGTGGTGATTTTTTAGGATGAATTCTCCTATAGGCTTAAAGGCAGAGACAATCATCCTCAGGAAGCATTGTAGCACCTACTCCCAAGAAGCACTGGTGCAGGAAATAAAGCCCAGAAGAGGCCTCAAACTTTCTCCAGGTGAGTGAAATGAAGATGTCTGTAGGTGTGTGTTTGTGGCCTAGAAATCCCAAAATCCTACCTGAGGAGTTCATGGAGAATTCTGGGATTTCGAGTAAAAAAAAATATATATATATATAAAAGGTTATGACCTTAGTCTCCATCATATTGCTCTAAAATATTACATGAATGTAGTCAGATAGCACAATGCTATGTATGTTCATTCAGAAATAAGTCCCATACTGGCCTTACTTCCTAGTATGCATCTTTGGGATTCCAGCCAAAGTGTATTAGAATTATTGGCTAACCAATGTCATATTAGTAGCTTTAAGCATGGTCCTCTTGAAAATATCCCTTGCTATAACATTCAGGTATCTCAGAGAAGGCCAGAGCACAATACTGTATTATCTAATCTATTGCCAAATCTACATAATACTAAAGAGCTAAAAAGCATGTTATATGTGTACTGTGCTCTAAATATTCACATGTACAATCTTAACAAGGTGCAATGCCATGATCTTCAGCCAGCACTGCTTCGAAATTTGTCTCACCAAAAGATACACATGTCTGAGATAATTCAGGAAGGTCAAAAAGATAGGATTTCATCCGAATACAATGTAACTGCAATATACCAGTGTAAATACAGAAGGCCTTTTAAAAATTCAGTAGACTGAAATAATATTTTTACACTTCTATGTCATCTGCTATAATTTCAAAGTTAATCTATTTTAAATACAGGAAAAGCAGGAACGTAGTCAGTTTCTAGCTTCACTAAACATTATCTCCTTTATTATACAGGTCAAATTCTTGATTCTTAGAAAATGTTTTCTTCTCACAAACCCACAATGAATTTCAGTGTTTGATTACGCAAAATTTAGAAAAGCCAAAAATATGTTGGGAAACAAGTCAGCTGGCGATACATTGGCTGCATTCAACAATCCAAACTGTATGTTAGCATGGTGTGAACAAGCCCACAGCAAGAATCCAGCCACGGGCTCGAAGTGAATGAGTAGGCCTAAGGCCCAGACTTGAAAGGCATGTTGGCTTGTTTCAAATGAACGGTCAAATGACCATTAATCATGGTTTATTGGTTCCAACATGACAACCTATGATTAAGCAAAAATGGAAGTAAACTTTTTTAGTTCTTCCTCACCACAGTACTGGACAGTAATACAGAAGACCATGCAAACTCAAAAATCCAATGTGGTTTTTTCGGACCGACATCTGAATACAGTCACATCCCAATTCCACAAGTTAAATTAATGACTAAGTCCAGAGAAACCAAAGTACAGTTGTGTGCACAGCTAAGTCCTTAAGTCCCCGCAACATTTACTGAATTTAAGACCAGTTTCACATTACATCTATAGCTCCTTTTGCAGAGAGCAAAAAATTATCAGAAATATATCTTAATTGTTCCTCACTGAAAAGTTTTAAAGGAAACTTTAAGACAATGAGGGAAATCCGGAGAGTCGGACAACTGATTCCAATTTCAAGATGTATGCGCTTCTCTTATGGAAACAGCTGCCATTCTTGTTATATAAAACAGTCACCATCTGGCATTAAGGGAGCTTTCAAAAGCACTATAAGGCTTTGCTGCTAGAAAAAACAGAATGTAAGAAACTTCACTGGCATACCCTTTAAGCACACATAAAGTAGTTCCCTGGATGTTGTCTACTGCTTTTGGGACTAACTTTCCAAGTCACATTATTTTCTAATACTAAAAAAAAAAAAAAATCCCTTCCTTGGTATAAAATCACAGGCCAGCAGAGTCCTGCTTCACCATAGTTTTTGCACATTACTGCCATCTTCTGGAATTATGCACAAAGTGTTTACAACAGCATTTGTATTTTCAAACTGTGTGATAGATCAGCGATCCCCAACCTTTTTGGGGCTGCGGACCGGTTGGGGGGAGAAAGCTCCATGCACAGGGGGGCACATGGACCAGCATTGGGTCACGGACCGGGGGTTGACGACCCCTGTGATAGACCATATAATGAAGTAGTGCAGGAATACGTATCACTTACATATAGATATCTTCCAGACTATTTGCTAGTTCTTCATACTCCTGTCGTTGAAGCCAAGGGGCACTATTAATAAAAATGAACATGTTATGTTATTTGTAGATGTTCTTAAATTATGTTCTACTGTACTTAAATTAATTAATTTCCGAAAAGGTACCCATGTTACTCAGTCTCAGCCTGTTGGCAAAAGAAAAGAAAAAGAATTTTAAAAGATAAGTTGTAGCACTTTAAAGACAGGTGACGTTAATTTCCGAAAAGGTACCCATGTTACTCCGTCTCAGCTTGTTGGGAAAAGAAAAAGAATTTTAAAAGGTAAGTTGTAGCACTTTAAAGACAGGTGACTCTATTTCAGCACAAGTTTTCATGGATCAAAATACACCTCCCCACTCACCAATATCTGCATTGGAAGCACCATCAAGGGGACCCAACAACGTCTGCCACTACATCACAGGCATGTTTACTTATTCTCTCATTCAGTGGTTCCAAACCTTGGGTAACCCAGATGTTCTTGGACCACAACTCCCAGAAATCCCAGCCACCACAGCTGGTGGTGAAGGCTTCTGGGAATTGTAGTCCAAGAACACTTGGATTACCTGAGGTTGGGAAGCACTGCTCTAATGTGATTTAAGCCATCTTCTCCCCTTTGCTTTCTACATAGGGAAAAAACCAATCTCTGTGCAAAAGAACAAATGGACACAAATCTGACATGAGAAGTCGCAAAACAGAAAAACCAGCTTCAGAACATTTCGACCTCCAAGGACAGACGCTCTGTCATGGATTTCAAAGTGGCTATTGTAGAAAAAAATAAATTACAGAGAAATACTCAAGAGAGACTGACTACATAAACAAGTTCCAGAGCATCTTTAAGGGCCTCAATAGAGAACAAGGCATATACCGTATTTTTCCATGTATAACACTATACTTTTGTCTAAAATTTTTAGACTAAAAACTGAGGGTCAAAAAAAACCCACGTGGGAGGCAGGGAAAGTGCAAAATTTGAACTTTCAGTTAACTGTTGGCCAGTGAAAAGGGTGCCTGTCTGCTTCCTCACTCCTCCCAGTGTTTAGAGAGTGGATTGGGAGACAGTCTTCGGACTGCCTGGTACTGTACTGCCTGGACTGTATTTTCCCTGCCTTCCCTGAACCTTTCTTGACCTAAGAAAAAAAGAAACAAAATATCCCCCTCTAGTGGTCGAAGGCGGAATAGCAGCTTCCCATTAGTTTCTATGGACGGAAAAGAGCAGATACGGATCAAATGGTTTTCAATGCATTCCTATGGGAAATGCAGATTTGACTTGAGAACTTTTTGACTTGAGAACCGCCTTCCAATACGGATTAAGTTCTCAAGTCAAGACCCCACTGTACAGAGAAATACTCAAGAGAGACTGACTACATAAACAAGTTCCAGAGCATCTTTAAGGGCCTCAATAGAGAACAAGTCATATACCGTATTTTTCCATGTATAAGACTACACTTTTGTCTAAAATTTTTAGACTAAAAACTGAGGGTCATCTTATACACGGAAGCTGAGGAGAGTACAAAAACAAGTGGAGGGAAATGCAGTAATCAAATTGTTCCTGCAGGGCTTTGATCCCTGCTTTCCCCTCCACTTGCTAATCCTTAGCAAAAGGAAAGCAGGGATCAAACCTCTGCAGGATCGCTATGATCCCTGCTTTCCCCTCTGCTTGCTAAGTCCCATGGGGCTTAACAAAAAAGGGGAGAAAGAATCAAAGCAATCCCATGGCTATATAAGGGGGAAAGGGATCAAAATGATGATGTAGTTGCGGGACTGCTATGATCCCTTTCCTCCTCCTTTTGCTAAGCCCCACGGGGCTTAGCATGAAGGGAGAAAGCAGGTATCAAAGCGATCCTACAGCACTTTGATCCCTTTCCCCCTACACATGCTAAGCCCCATTTAGATTTCTTAATTTTAGGTTAGAAAGATGAGGGACATCTTATACATGGGGGTGTCTTATACATGGAAAAACACAGTATTAAGAGCCCAACTTTCCATAAAACAGTCGACCACTCCATTGACAAATTCTTACCTCTTTCTCAGAAGCATCTCTTAGCATATCTATGACAGCCAAGTCTACTTGGTCTTCAGCTGTCATTTGGGCCTGGACCTGCTAACTGAAATAATTTACACTTTTATAGACCTATTTCTGTTAACAAGCCACAGTCACTTTGTCTATTATAGAATATACAGGCCATGTATTTGTTCTGTGTCTCAGATTTTAATCCATGAAAGCTCATGCTGAAATAAAGTCATTTGTCTTTCATGTGCTGCAATATTTTGCCTTTTTAGTTTCCCTTCTCTTTAAAGAAACTAATGCTGAAATTGTGGTAAATACCATCAAAAAAACCAGGGCTGACTTCTGCAAATAAATGTATGGAATGACACAGGAAAAGTTTCAAGTTATTAAAGATTTTCCCAAGCATGAAGTGGGTGAGGAGATAGGGATTTTTTCCCAAGCATGAAGTGGTTGAGGAGATAGGGTTGCTGCATATCTTGCTTTGCAGGATATGCAGCAACCCTATCTCCTCACCCACTTCATGCTTTGGAAAGCATCCACATCACAGCAAAGATAACAGAGAATTAGAAGATTTCAGCAGGCTCAGTCTGTATCTGAGCCTGCTGTGGATCCACACTTACTCCCTTTTAGTCACCTGCATAACCTTTCCTAAAAACATGTGCTCAGCAGCAACTGGTTTTTCCTGCTGTGCAGAAGTTTGAAAAGCTGCACTTGGATCACAGAACAAAATTGCATCAGTTTCTGTAGACACTCTCTTTGTTCCTCACACACCAGGGTGACATATAATCAAAATTAACAACTACGGACTCTTCATTGCTCCATACTTATATGCATTGTCCATTCCAAAATACAGGAGCATTCACGTTAGCTCGCTTTAATGTATTGCTATCGTTACTACGAGATGGGTGATTTAGGGAAATTCTGTTTAATGATCAAACTTGTGTTGTGGAAATGGGGATATCGAATCAGTTGAACATGTTATTTTTCACTGCAGAATGTATGATGATTGTAGAAAGAAGTTAATCTCTCCACTAATAGGTTTTTCTCTGCATGGTAGCCCCACAGAGTTGTTACTGTCCTGCTCAGAGCGTGCATCCACTTATATTAATGACAGGGTGTCTAAATTGTTGCTGATTGCTATGAGAACGAGAGAGGAAATGTTGAAATCACATTATACACTAAATATAGGAGGGTTTTTTTCTGTATGTTCTGTATGGTTTTTTTATATGTGACCGTATTGAAGAAAGAATGAAAATAATCAAATTTGTGTGGACTAACCTCCCTTTCAACAGTTTTGGTGTGACCTTACACAAATTGCATATTTCACTTGATTTATCTCTATGTACTTTAAGATTTGCTGAATTCCCCTAAACAAAAATCTCCCAGATTTAGAAGGGCTCAGGGTTACATTAATACAATCCTAGGGCATAGAACTTCTTGGGGTTTACTGTAAATGAAGTGCACAGAAGGGACACGTCTGTTTTTAAGCAGAATGTGCTTGCTGCGTTTCTGGGGCACAATTCTACTTAAAAATTAGCTGCCCAAGCCTTGCGTATCTTTTCACGTTTGGACTAGAACTTTTGCTATCACCACCACAGTGAATCCAGCAGCAGGTAGAGGCTATGACGATAGGGGCACTCAAGGGGTAGCATGCTGCCTTGTGTTAGACACCATTCACCTATGAAACAAAACAAATTGCTAAAAATATGAGCATACTCTTTTTTTTTTAATAGAAGAACACTGACTTTAATTAAACCGTTATAAATGTTGAAAGTAAACTTAGTGGAAACAATTCCTTTCATCTCCAGTTTTCGTTTTTTAATCTTTCCAAAGCAGCTCAAAGGAAGAATAACAGGTATGCTGAATCTCCCACGTAGTTCTACTTTAACAGAACTACAAGAAGATATTACAGGCTTTTTGATTCTCTAATTTATTGCACTTAACAGAATTGCATCAAGTTCTTTCACTTTCAGAATGTTATGGTATTTCTCCTCACTATACACCTATATCTAATGTGATGGAAGGTCCCAACTCCAATGTCTTAAGAGTATACTTAGTCACAATGTTACAGATTACTGTGTGTTCGGACCAATTATCTTCAATGAGCTAAATTAAGTACAGAGTCAAAAACATGGAGTTACTTCTAATAACTTTAGAAAAAGGTTTATTAACTATAGCATTTGAGTAAAAAACAAAGTATTTGTCTTACATATTCCAGGTAAGTTTCTTTAGCTTTAAAGCAGAGGTTGTCAACCCCCGGTCCGTGGCCCAGTGCCGGTCTGTGGCCTGAGCTGGACCGGGACATGAAGACATATCTCCCGCCCCCCCGCACCCACTCCCCTCCCCACAGCTGCTTTGCGTATGTGTGTGCGTGCTAGCACTGGTGTGCTCCCCCACTGCTTCGCACATGCGCCCGAGAGAGAGCGCACACCTGCAGGGGGGGCCCCCACTGCTTCGCACATGCACCTGAGAGAGCGCACACCTGCAGGGGGGCACCTTCCTCAGAGACTCAGTCCAGAGACTCAGCTGGTCCGCAGTCCCAAAATGGTTGGGAACCGCTGCTTTACAGAATGTTTCTAAACTGGGTAAACCACCCCCTAAAGCTGGATGGCATGGATGCAAGTGTGGATGGAGAGAAAGCCATCAGAGAGCATGTGCTCAGGCAATCTCCATCTTGGAAAAGGCCCTTCTCCAAGGAAGAAGGTACACATGGAGAGGAGGGGCAGGACGTGACCAATGCTCTATAGTGTTCCAATAGCAGGGTAGAACTGAAAGATTGACAGAATCACCCACTGCATACTGGGACACCATTGATCTGCATACTCCAACACACTAAATGGTTCTAGACATGGATGAAACTACTTGCACTTTTACACACTAGGACCACCAATGCTATTTGCTCTGACAGAGCCCCATATAGCTTAGCCGTATACTTTCTATTCCTTCCTTAAAGAACTCTTAAACAGAAGAGTTCTAAATAAGTTCATGGTAAGAAGCACGGTGGGGAAAAATGTCGTAAAGATACTTCTATGATTTTGACTATGATTTCAATTAAAAAAAACCAATTTAATGGCCTATCATGTGGAGAAGGGCCTTCATATTGGCAATGCCAGGTTCGACTCTAGGGGGCGGTGCTCATCCATCTCATGTGGAGAAGGACCTTCATATTGGCAATGCCACAACTAAGAGCCAGTATAGTGGCACATCTGCAGAGCACCTTTGCTTGAAAGGCTTAAAATACACTCTTATTCATGTGTAAATATTACCCACACCACAATGTTTTGGTTCTGTCAATGCTGATTTCAAAAATGCATGTACAATTGGTTATAATCTAAGTAACTCTTACACAGATTCTGTTTCATATACGCACTGTACAGAGACTAGACAGCATGAACTTAAGAAAGTACAACACATCTTTGGCATGGGTATGGAAGGTTACATAGAAATCAATGTATGTACTAATTTAAATTAAGCTACTAGTGATCACATGCTCCATAGAATCATGAGACGATGACAGAAGAAATAAGATAAAATGCATGAAATTTATTATTTCTGAAGAAACTAGCACTTACTTAATTTGGTAAATAGGTGGGGCTGCTGTCGGATATTCTGGAGGCAAGATCACCTGAAAGATTATTTTTTTAAAAAAATGAACCAGTTGTTATGAAAAAATAATAAATAACTGGTAACTGGGAAAAAAAAGAGTTAATGCAGAACAGTTCTGAAATATTATTAAAATTCTAGAAAGTAATAGGAAGCACCAACAGCCTTAGACTACAATCCTATATAATAAGCAGATTTTGATTTACTTCAGCATACTGTACAAATGAACAGAATCACGACGTTAGTCAATGTCAGCTCCATTATTGTGCTCACCTAAAATACATGAGATTTGTCTTTCTATACTTCAAACAAACAAACACAAACTCTGGAAATCAGAAGACAACTTCCCAAAATTTGGAAAAAAGAAAGCTCCTATCTGACAAAGAAAATAATTTACTTATTACAAATGTTGTTGTTGTGTGTTGCCTCTGACATATAGTGATCCTAACAGGGTTTTCTGAAGAATGGGAAATACTCCAGATTAGAGATGGGCGTGAATCACCATTTTGGCAGTTCCTGCCAGTTTGTTTTTCAGCCAAACAAGTCTTTGGTGCTTCCCAGCCCCACCTCGTTTGGCGGGCTCCCACTCTGAGGCAGCGCTCCAGCTTCCCTGCCCCACCTCCTTCAGGTGCTGCCTCTGAGTGGGCACCCACACAGGACAGGGCTGGGAAGAGCCAAACACCTGTTCAGCCAAAAAATGAACTGGCATGAACTTCCAAACTGGTGGTTTGTGCCCATCTCTATTCCAGATGTGATTTCCCTTGCCAATTGGGCATGATAGAAACTGTGGAATATGTCTTGTTTCATTGTGCATTTTGTAAGAACTCATGCAATTTACGCATTTCTCCAATTTTAAAATATTATCCTAGTGGACCAGAGAAATTCTATATTTCTGTCCTCTCTGACACTTCAAGGGAAACCATGGCCAAGGTTGCAAAATTTTGTGCTACACATGTACAATAAAGAAACAGATGATTTAATCACTGCACTAATTAGATTAAGAATTTACACTTAATTGTAGTTTGAATTTTAGTCTGTTTTGATTTGACTGTAAATACCGTATTTTTGCTCCTTTTTCGGTATATTCAGTAAACTACAATGGTTTGCAATCAATTTTGACTATATATATTAAACAGACATACCAAAACATACAAATTTTTACATTAATAATTTACTTCAAAATCATTGATCAGCATTTACAGTGTTTGCCTTCTAGAAATAAGATAACATAAAAATAAAAGCCACACTTCCAGTTCAGTCACTTCTCCTAGGCAAAACCAAACCTAGAAATGTTAAATTAGTGTTCATGTTGAGACTGTTACTTTTTCTAGACACAAATTATGATCCATCAAATAAAGAGTTTGTATTAACCTTCCCTTTTTTCCTACCTGAGCAATCTAATTTCACAGTTACCTACCTTTCAAAATAAAATTAACAGAGTTGGGGTGGGAATTCAGACAATAACATTTGAGATACCAAAAATAGATAGATAGATAGATAGATAGATAGATAGATAGATAGATAGATAGATAGATAGATAGATAGATAGATAGATAGATAGATAGATTGATTGATTGATTGATTGATTTCCAAAGGCCTGATTCAGCCTCAAAAACTAATCCTCCATTTAAGTTCCACTATAGCTTTTTGAGAACACCCAGTTTCAAACTCTATGTGAAACATTGGTAACAACAAACCTACCTGCAGACAGAGAGTCCACTTTGGCTGTTCCAGGCATTCGCTGATCTTAATGCAAAATATTTTCTCTTCTTCATTAACAACACACCATTCATCACCATATATAGCAGACAGGGCTTCAATTTCTTCTTTCTGACAGAAAACAATGCCAAATTATTTTAACATGTGCACTGCCCCTCACGAGGCTAAATACGGTAATTTATTAAAATGAGGCATGACACATAACCTAATTCAAAGTTAGCAGTGCTTTTCCTGCCTTCAATGTATAATCATAAACCTACTGTATTTTGTTCAATATGCCATAAAAAGCAACAACTGTCTCAGGATGGTGTCATAATGCTTACCGTAGACCACTGGACTTTCATCCCCCATTACTATGATTTACCTCACCTACATAACGATTCCCAAGACTGTGTCTAAGGTTCTCACAAGCAACACAAAGGCATACTATTTCCCCTTTAGTGTGCTAGGACTGACTACAGTTTTGGTGATACCCTAATTATTGCTGATCCCTATTGCTACAATTCAATTGTCAAAATAAACGACAGACCTCTACTCAGACGCCTGAGGCACTAAGATCAGCTCCAGCATTCATACAATAGCAACACTGCCTTGCATAATAGTTTGGGAAGAAACAGGCTCAAAATATTTTAACAGCCAGTGAAGCTCAGCAACCATGCTTTACTTAATCAGTTGTTTTTTTTAAAAAAAAAAAGTTTGGCTCGTAGCAAAGATAGAAGCTCAGCAACCATGCTTTACTTAATCATTTTTTTAAAAAAAAAAGTTTGACTCGTAGCAAAGATGTCTCTTCAACTCAAGCTATTACACACTTTAAAAAGTAAACAATTAGGACTGTGCTATAAGGCCCTAATAGAACTAAAGAAGAGAAGTACTGTTCAGAAAGTGAATGGGGTGGAGGCGGGAGACAGAACATCTGATGATGATGCATATCTAACTGAGCAATTTAATATCACAATTATATATCTTTCCAAAGAAAATCACCAGAGTTGTAGTGGAAATCCAGAAAGAAAAATCTGAAATACCAAAAAAGTTACCAAAGGCCTGATTTAGCCTCAGAAAATAATGCTCCATTTAGGTTCCACCATGCGCCATGATATTATGGTGCATACAGTGTATCAAGATCTAACAAAATGAGGGAGCCAAATAACACATTAATGTACATGGTGCAAGAGGTGCTTTCTACCTAGGGCCACCAAGTGAGTGCATTGCAAAGGCAATGCTTGAAACAGAAACATCTTGATAGAAAGCTCTATCAAGCACCATCTTCAACAACCTTCTCTGTTGAGGTGAGTGGGTCTTACTTCCAGATAAGCGAGTACGTACCAGATTACAGTTTTAATCACAATTTCTATCCATCAAGACTTGTCTGTGCTTGTGGAACAGCATGTTGAAAGGAATTATTTATGTGCGGGGAAATCACATATTGGCCAAAATCCTGTTGCTTAGTGTAGTAAATTGCACCAGACTAGGCCCACTGGATCAAAGAGGATTTCGTGAATCAAATCCTCCATAAATTCTATTAATTCAAATAGCTCCACTATAACTGCATTTTACTTTTGTATAGTTAGCCACAGTTATAATAGACCCATTTGAATCAGTAGAACTTAGAGAGGCGTTAACTCACTAAATCCCCATGGATTCAATGGGCCTACTTTGTACTAAGTAACAGGATTTTGGCTAATGTGTAATCACCTTTTGCAAAAGCAGCATTCCGTTAATACCCATTCACACAAATATAGTAATTGGTTTAGGAAATTCTACATCAGAATGTGTGCTAAAGGCTAATAAGCACCTCATTGACAGAAAAGAAAGGTGAGTTCCATTATGGATCTGGAATCCAG